ACATACATACATACATACATACATACATACATACATACATACATACACACACACACATACGCACATACCTGCTACAAACACATACAGACATACATGCACACATACATGCATACAAAAATGCTTTCATACCATTACATACATTACACTACGATATATTAGGTTACATTACATTACAAAACGTTTTATTACATTACATTAATACATACATACATTGGATTGACACGTGCAGCTATCTACACCTTTTCTTGCAGCATAGCCCAGCAGCTAGAGTAAGCACAAAAACTATGCGCCATTTCCAAATCACATGAACTGACTCAAAGAAACGGAAAATGGGGGAAAGGCCTGATATTGACTACCTCTTACAAGACTCTTTAAACGCTTCACTAGTTTGCTACCGAGGTGAAGACTTCGTAGGATGAGATCGTAGATGCAAAATATGCAGTACCCCAAACACAAACACTTCCAGCGACATGTCTACTCATGAACTTGATCTTTGCACAGCTTCGTTTCAACGAGTAGGAGGCAACAAGTTTTAAATCCAAGGCCACGGCCTCATGAGAGAGTTTCTCTTCCAGCTCTGGTATCCTGCGAAGCTTGCGCGAGCTCCCGAACAAAATTCGTTCAGCACCTGTGGCATGAAAGCTAACCCTGAGCCCTTCAGCCCTTTTGCTTTGTTTTATTGTAAACCAAGCGTGCAGCTGTTGTTCGCTGCAGCACACGCACGCAAATGCATGAACTTATTTTGCAGAGTAGGCCACGCCCTGTTGAATTGCCGGTAGGTCTTGTCCTCATAGCGTCATATATACATATGATGAGCATGGACGGAATGCGCCTGACATCCGTGATCATGCGACACTCGGACTTCAGCACCTGCTGCTGATTCCTGCAGCGGCGAAGCAATAAAGTACCAGCGCAGCCAAAACAAGGAAAACAGGTTTCCTTGCTAAGTTTGCAATTACAATTCCTTTGAACATCATTGAACCGCTTGCCTGCCTCAAAACAGCACCCAATCGAATTCTTGCTCCGTCATGACAGCTGGTTCTGAGACTGAGACTGCAGTTGCTCTAAACTTTGTATGATACCTGGGCAAACAGGGCGCAGCTTTGTCGGCTCAAGCTTGTGTGTGTGTGTGCCAACCTCTGTAACTAAGAGTTTTGAATGCAGGGGGCCACCGGGGTCCCAGAGGAGCGGTGGCCAACGAAGACCTCCTCTGGGACCCGTGTAAACGTACCTGCAATTTTAGTAACTGTTTAAACCGCCGTTTCGTGAGCTGCAGATGTGCGAACAACCTTTTGTTAAACAATACAATTGCACCGACTCTCTCACCTTTCGGTTCCATCGCCATTTTTCCCTGGGAATTGAGTTAACTGAAAGCCAATGTCAGAGTGTGACTCGCTCAGTCGTCCCACTTGGGTGCTGGGTGTGATCCTCTGCAAGGAGGCGCCGTTGTCACTCCAGACTACCGTGTAACGGATTCCACTGTTCCTCCATGCGTTCGATTCTCCTCAATGAATTGGCCTCACTTCAGGATTCTCAAAACATGACGCCGTCCGGCCCACGATACTCCTCCCAAGCCGCCGGCAAACGGAGAATAAACCCCGACGTGTTCTCTACCCCAAACACCCCAACCCCTCCCCCCTCTAATTAGGGTAACAGAGGGAAATGGTGCTCGGCACACTTGTGTGTAGGCGCCTTTCCCTCTGTTGTCCCTTTTCTAGTCTACTCTACCCGGGCGGTGTAAGACTAAAGTCCCGCTCCCTAAGTAGTGCGCCTAATTCATTCGGCTAAGTATTCAGTAACTCTAGAGTGCTAGGTAGTCATACACACACACACGGACACACACATGCACATACACTTCCCTGCCGCTTTTGGTCGTTTCTTGGGCTTTCTCTTAGGCTTTTTAGGTTGTTCTTGAGGCTCGTTTCCCTACCCCAGTCAGGGGCTAAGTATTCACTTTTGTCTACTCCTACCTTTCTCTCTTGCCCTCTTAGCGCTGCTCTTTCTGGTTTTCTTTCTTTTGATTCTAAGGCTTTTTAGGTACCTATTCAAGTCCTCCGCGCGAGCGCCGCAAAGCGTTATCGTGCGCGCGTCAACCTCTGTAACTAAGAGTTTTGAACGCAGGGGGCCACCGGGGTCCCAGAGGAGCGGTGGCCAACGAAGACCTCCTCTGGGACCCGTGTAA